AGCCGCCCGCGGGCAGGGGCGCGGGGAAGCGCCGCGGGGAGGGCAGCGTGCAGCCGCGTGCAGCCCAGGCGCACCCCGCTCCGGGCCGGGGCTCCGCGTCAAGCCCGGGGAGTGCGAGCCATGCACACCCTCGGTGAGAACTCCCTTCACGGACGGAAATGTAACGTGTGGGTTGTTTTTTTTTTTTTTTCACCCTTCCTCGGTTTTTCACTTCCTATGTTAAAAGGTCTTGGTCCAGGTTTGCAGAATGACACTTCTAAAGCGCGCTGGCGCTCCTACCCATTCGGCGTTTTAACTTCGGGAGCGCTCCTCTCGCTTTTGTTTTCCTTTCTGGGAGCTGGCTGGTTTGCCACTGCTGGCAAACTTACCCCTCTGTGTGGTTCTTTCCTACTTCCTGGTCTTCTTCTCTGAGACCCCTTAGGAAGATGCACATCAGAAAAGCAAGTGAAGACCGCGGAGCCGGGGAGGGCGCTGAGGGGCCGCCGTCCCCGAAAGTGTTCACGGACACGCGCGGACGCAGCTTGGCCAGCATCCTCCCGGCTCACGGAGGCGAAGCCCACACGGGTGCGCGGGACAAGGAGGCGCCAGCAGGCACTGCACAACTCTTCCTCACCCTGAAGGCTTGCGGGGCATTCCTTAGGCGAATCCTGACCATGCCCAGTGTGTTAAATGGCCAGTAGTGGAATAATAATCCACTGTCACCCTTATTATAAAATTATATCATGAGTATAATAGAAACATATTTGAGATTAAAGGCCAGGGGCTTTGGGATCAGTGGACTCTATCAGAAGAAGCCTATGAGATTAAAGCATGCACAGTAAAATTTTATGAATGTAGGTTTATTTTAAATAGAATATTGGTATGTAAGCAATGTAAGCAATATACTAAATATATTTAAGTTTCTTTAAAGTATGTTGGTATATAGTCTGTGTATAATATATACTATATATTACTAAATACTATACCATATATACTGTAGTATATGTGTCATAAACTATTTGAATGAGTAACTTGCATTGTCTTTAAGATCACAGCATTGGGGGGCGGGGAGATGGCTCAGTGGAATAAGTGCTTCTCTGGCAAGCACAAGGGTCTGAGTTCAATCCCTGGTAAAAAAAAAAAAAAAAAAAAGCTCAAAGCATCACAGTGCCATCGCTTTAGCTCTGAACTGGACTTCTGCAGGATACTATCAATTTCAGAGACTATTCTAAACACTGGGTTTAATTTTAGCACTGAAAGGGGAAATTTGTTGTTTGTTAGTTTCTAAAAGCAAAAATAGCACATCAAAAGTAGCAGAAGAGGAACTGTAAACTTTCACAGGGATGGTACGAGGATATTTGGTTATTAAACTTATAAAAAAAAACCCTTTATTACTTTCCATTACAATGTTGTCTGTAGCTAATTGTAGAATGTTACTTCTCTGTACTTAGTTCAATTCTGAGTATTCAGACTCCAAAAAGTGATATCCAAAGGGATAGATGAGAAGTAGATGAGTCAAATAACTTCCGCAGTTACTCCACCGTCAAGAATGGGCATCATTTCCACTCTCCAGTGTAGGCTGCACATAGTAACATCTTCCAAAGGGTACAGCATGGGAGGGGGGCTTTATAGTGGAGAAATCTGACCAACACTGCCTCAGTCAGGTGGTTAAGGTGAACATCATGGGGACAAGGCAGGGTTATGCTTGTGTACACTGGATATGTTATGAGAATGTCACTTTATTATTTTTGTGGTCCTCCTTTCAAACACCCATAATCCTAGTCTAATAATGAGAAAAGTACCAGCCAAGTTCCAACCAAGAGGTCTTCGACAAACTACTTGACTACTTAAGGCCAGGGCAAAGTTATCAAAACTGTCATTAACTGTCAAGATCATAAAAAACAAAAATGAGTCTGAGAACCCAGAGCTGGAGGGAGAAGAGGGGAGGGGAAGTACAAAGAATGAAGAGGTGTTATGTATACGTGTCCACTCCCTGGGAGGGCTGCACTCATTGTGCACTGCAAACATGTACAATAAGGATAATTCTGAAAGACTGTCACAGCCAAGGGGAACCAAAGGGGACATGACAGCCAGGTGTAATGGGGAACACTGGATGGGATCCTGGAGCATAGAAACTAAAGAAATCGGAATGCTGCATGGATCTTACTTAATAGTAATATGTCAATATCAGCTCATTAATTGTGAGAAATACCCATGATAATGTAGAATGTCAGTACAGAAGTACTGGGCGTGGGGCTATGCAAGAATTCTGTGCCATCTTCAATTTTCTTGTATATCTAAAATAAAAGCTTGTTTAAAAAGCTTTTATTAGTCACTAATATATAGTCCTCTCAACAGACAGCTACTACACATTGGGCTAAGGCTCTTCTCAGGGGAGTGGGCAGTTTATCACACATGTTTCACAAGGATCAACTATTTCATAACCAGGAACTCAATAAAACATCAAATTAATAATGCACCTTTACCAAAACTGGGTGTAAAACCTGTAGAGAATTAAACAGAATACCTACATGTGTTCATGATCTTTGGTTTAAGAAGGGAACAGCTGAGCCTAAACCATAAATACGATAACTGACAACGGGTAGATCTGACTCACTGAGTCACATTTCATAGCTTACGCTTCGTAGGTAAAATTAACAGTGACTAAAAATGAAATTACTGGCACAGGTTGTTCCTGGACCATCTGAGAAGAGTCCAAATACTGAGTCGGCTCAAAGGAAATAAAACTGAAAACTGTTGATCTCACCCAAAATAACCATCCTGCACCTCGTCTGAACCTTGGGTTCTCCACCAGCCAGCCTACTCAAAACCACTACTGAGGACTCGTCGTCCTGAAGGTTAGCGTTGAAAGAGGCAACACGGAGGGCCTTGCGGCCCGGGACCAGCGGCCAGAAGGACCTGCGACGCCGCCGGCGCGACCTCCGGCGATCCCTGACGTTCCCGCCCGACCCCGCGGGCGGAGCCGACCTGGGCCGCCGCCTTCCAGCCGGGCGCGTCTTCCGAAGCCGCCGCTGCGCCCACGTCGGTTTTGCCGGCGGAAGGATGTCCCCACACGCCTTCACACCTGGAGCCGGAAGTGAAGGTTCCACATTCTTCTCCAGAGGAAGGCTCTGGGCCGGCGCCTAAGGGTTCTCTGGGGTCTTGATTCTCCGGACAGAAGCGGACAGTTAGGTGGAAAATACGCGTAAGAGAACGACTGTGGACACAGCCCAGCGGACGGTCACGAGAACAAGGCGTAGGGCAGTCCCACGCTGGGCTCTCCGCTCCACGTGTGAGAAAAGTACATTCTCTGGGCCGGGGCGTTGGCTCAGGGGAAGAAGCGCTTCCCTGGCAAGCGCAAGGGCCTGAGTTCAATCCCCGGCTCCCCCAAAAGAAAAAAAAGAACAGAAAAAATTACATTCTCACAAGCGTCCCCCTTCCTCAGCTCCTCCGACAATGGCTCCTGGCCACTCTACCCCATCAGGGTCCCTGGAGCCCGTGGGGTTCTCCCCTAGGTCCCTTAAGGTCCCCCTGGACTAAGGAAGGCCCGCGAGCGGGAGGCCCACGCGTCATTCCACCGGCTCTGCCAGGTCCTTCGGCTCTGAGGACAACGCGGGAAAACGGCGCTAGCCGGAGGTGCGAAGGGCGCGCAGCGCGGCCCGCGCATGCGCAGAAGCGGCCAAGCGGCCACCGCGCTAGCCCCGCCGCCGCGCTAGCCCCGCCCCCCAGGCCCGCGGCGCGCACGCGCAATGCGGCTTGTCGCGCCCCCTGCAGTAGCGCGGACCGGTAGTGGAGTTGGCGCCGGGCGGTTTGCCTCGCTGTGTGGACAGGCGCGATGGCGAGGCGTTGGACCGCGGCTGCGGCGGGAAGGAGTCCAGCGGTCGAGGCCTCTGAAGCCACCCCTTGAGCCGCCATGCAAGCGTGGCTCCTGCTCACCGCGGTGCTCTGCCACCTCGCAGGAAGTGGGGCTCTCCGGGCCCAGACCCCACGACTGTCCCCTCGGCCCCCGGTCTACCCTGCACCCCTAAGGCTGCCCGTGCACCCCTAAGGCTGCCCCTGCTCCCCTAGGGCTGCCCCCTGCACCCCCAGGGCTGCCCCCTCCCCCCCAGGGCTGCCCCCTCCGCCCCCAGGGCTGCCCCTGCTCCCCCAGGGCTGCCCCTCGCCCCAGGGCTGCCCCCTCC